AATGAGGGGCGACTGCGAGGATTGGTGCCTCTTTGGGACTGGCGACTTTGCCCTTCACTTTGACCCAGAAGCCCATCACGATGAAAAGGACATGGCCAAGAAAGGTGAGGGCGGAATAGGAGAGTTTCCTTGGCACAGAAAAGAAAGAAACCAAACAAATACAATTACGCTCACTCCCAACAAGACCAGAAGGCATCTCACATCTCCGCATATTTCAGTGTAATGCTGTTACTGCTGGTAAGATATGAGGGGCATTCATTAAAGATTTCCCCTGACCCACTTCTCTTTATCACAGGATGCTGAAACTGCACATGGGTAATGATATAAGCCTCTATAGGTTATGTGCCAATTTACAACTCAGAACTGATAACATTTTTGATTTTACATATGCTGAAGTGGTGTGAGGTTTGAGAATGGACCCAGTAGAAAACAGAGCAGTCCTCAAGTTCCTTTACTCGAAAGGCTGCACACCAAAGGAGAGGTTCGATGAGATGAAAGAAGTTTATGGTGATGATTCCCCACTGCATGATGTAGTCAAGAATTGGAATCGTCAATTCAAATGTGGTCGCATTTTGGTGCAAACAGTTCTAATTCCAAGGCAACCCCACTCTGCTATTGATGGACATGCCATCCGGCAAATGGAGGTCGCCATTTTGGAAAATCACCACACAACCATTCACCACCTAGCCCAGAATGTCAAGATTAGTTTGGGGTGTGTGGAAAAAAATTGTCCTATCTTCACATCCACAAGATATCTGCTTGCTGGGTCCCCCAGCTGCTCACACCTTTCCAGAAGCAGGAATGAGTGAATGCTCTCAGGCTCTATTGGCGATGTGCCATGGAAACCAGGAGGACTTTTTCAATCATCATCATCATCATCATCATCATCATCTTTATTTATACCCCACCACCATCTCCCCGAAGGGGACTCGGGGCGGCTAACATGAGGCCAAGCCCAAAATTACAACAAAGTACCGGTAGTGCAGTGGGTTAAACCGCTGAGCTGCCGAGCTTGTTGACCAAAAGGTCACAGGTTCGAATCCAGGGAGCAGCGTGAGCTTCCGCTGTCAGCCCCAGCTTCTGCCAACCTAGCAG